GAAGGAGAGCTGGCGCCAGTGCTTCTCTCTCTCCCCTCCTGCTCTCCGTGTCTCCGTTGCAAGCGCAAGGCAAGAAGTAGGCTCTCCCACACTCGCCAAAAAGGACTCATGTGCTGCTGTCCCTGTTTCCGTGTACTGGTGTTGGTTTTGGCTATATTGGCCACCGCCTGTGCTGTGTGTGCCAACATCTTCCCTGTCTTCCAGAAGGAGAACGAGCTTGTGACGATGAAGCAGACGCTATGGTACAATGAGGTGATCTTGCCCGATGGCAATGAGACCGAGCAGAAGGTGAGTAAGAGCTTGTGCGGGCAGTACAAGCTGTTTTTCCGGGTCTCCGAGGGCACCGCTGTGGGTGCAATTGGTGTTGGCCTCATCGTGGTGTTACTTACCGTTATTCAGATGATCTGCAGGGTGTTGTCTTGCTGCTTGGGGTGTTTCACGTCGCTCTTGATTGACCTTGCGTTTGCGGCGTCTGGGGTGTGTGTGGCCCTTCTTGTGTATGGATATATGAAGGGCTACTGCCAGGATGACACTGCGCTGTCGCCCCTGTACGCTCCCTTCAAGGACCAGGACTACAAATTCGCGGAGTCCTTCTACCTCATCTGCGTCGCCTGTGCTCTCTTTCTCATCTCCTATTTTGTTTAACCATGAATTTGGCATGTTCATAATGTCGATGTTACAGATCGTTCTTTTTTGGAGATCTTCCCCGTTTTTTTTTTGGTTTTGGATCTTATATTTTCTTGACACGGATTCGTTGCTGAGTTTTTGTTTGCCACATCTATGTTGGTGCACACATTTTGGGTTTATTTTTTGCCTCTTGGATTGGGGCAGCTTGGTGGGCTGCACTCCTTGTTTCTTTCGGACCTGCGGTGCGTGCCAGGGGATTGTGCGCCTTTTTTGACTGTAGTTTTGCGGCGCGTCGGAGAGATGCGGAGAGGAGTGCCCTGCTCTTTGCGTGCCCGTCGTGTTTCCCACCGTCTCTTGCGCATGCGCGTTTGGTTTTTGCTGCCCACCTTTTTTTTCCTCGCCTTTTCTTGCTTTTGTTGTTCGCCGATGTTTCCTCACTCGTTGGGCTTCTCTGCACCGATGCAGAGGGGCTGCGGCGGCAGTGGGGAAAAGGGTGTGCGTCGGCGTGTGCTGCCGCTGACTGGCACGGCTTTTTTGTCTTGTGGCTGCAGTCGCCAGCGTTGCGGTGCCGGGGCGATGTCGCTGCGAGACGACATCGAGGCCCTCACGGCGGCACTGCATCGGTTCTCTCGCCTGCAAAACCGCGGCAACGGGAGTGGGACGCCTGATAGCATCGCCTGTAGCTCTGAAGACAACTGCAGTGGCGATACGGGGAGGGAAAAAAGTGCAGGCCGTCACACCAGCTGCGCCGGGGTTACGACACAAGCCTCTGAATTTGACATCTCTGCCATCTCCATGGCTGCGGAGGGTGATGACGCCGAAGCCGCGCCAGCGCAACAAGCGGCCGCGGTGAACTTTCTAAACCCAAAAGTCTCTGAGGATACGTTTGGAGCCCCTCCCAGTAGTAACACGACGGCGTTGCCCTGCGGTGATGGGCCGGATGCGTATCGAAGGGGCGGCAGTGGGTTTAAGGTTGCGCGTGTTACTGCGCCAGGGGAAAAGGCGGCTTTGGACGACAGCCCTACGGCGGTGTGGGAAACAAATAGATCTCGCCGCGCGAGCTCGTCGGTGATGGCTGCGGAGGCCACACGGCTCTCCACTCTCGCGTTGGACGCCACCGCCACCTCCTCTGGAAACAGTACTGCGTTGCAAGATACACCACAACACTCTCAGCGCCAGATGGAGGAGGCGTACAGGCACATCTTACGGAAGCTGCTGTTGGAGATACACCGCTTGGACGCCCGTAGCAAAGCCCTATCTGAACAGTGTGAAGGTGAACGTGAGAACAGGCGGCGTTTGCAGCGTAAGCACGAACAAGAGCTTTTGGACCGTAACGCTCTAATCGGTGCGCTAAGGCAGCAACTTGTTGCCATGTGCGCAGGTGGCGACAGCGCATCTTCCGGTGGCGCACGCGTGAGCAGTGGCAGTGACTGGACGTTGGGGCATCACGGTGTCCGATTCACCCCACCTGTGGCAAACAGATGGTCGGCAAAGGAAAGCCGAGGTGAAAGCGGCGCCGGAACCACGACGGAGCTGCACCCGTATGATCGACCGGTCGCTTCCAGTGAGTTATGTGGTGTCAGCTCCTCTTCCACGGCGGAGAGGTCTTCTAGGCAAGGGCCGCAGCGAGCATCTGAGGAGGTTGAGAGGGAAGGAAGTAGTGTCAGTCTGATGCGTCAGGGGGTCAGTAGCGATGCTGTCACGTCGACGCGTCCACATTCACTCAGAGGGTTTCAGCAGAAAAGAAGTACTTGCTGGGGGGCCACCCGAGCGTTTGAAGAAGTGGCGACACAGACGAGTAACGCGGGAATGCCCGAAACTGCGGCGACTGCTGTAATGGACACTGAGCGCGTGAAGGATGCCTTGGAGGAAGTGCCTCGGAAGGGCTCAACCTCTGCGTTGGGGGAGGTTGGGAGGGGCAACGGAGGTGAAGCCGACACCCCGGTGCGACGCGCCACATCGAAACCCGCAGTGCATCACCCCTACGGGGAACGCAGGAAGCGAAGATCGCATGCGTCGACGGAGGTCGAAGAATGCGAAAGAGAAAAAAATAGAAGGAAGCGTAGAGTGCCTGCAACGCAGGTGGTGCCACGCATTCCTGCCCCTTTTGGGTGCCCAGGCGAGAGACTCTGTCAGCGGCCCAGTGGTTCTGGTTTGTGCTGCCGTACGAAGCTTGGCGCTGAAGCTCGTGCGGGGCCCCAGCGCGACCTGAAGGGAACGCGTGCTGCGAGTCGGCCTTGTTGCACGGCTTCCGCAAGGACACGGCGGAACCAGGGGAGGACAGAACAAAGCGAAACCTGTGAATTACTGTACGGGATAATGGCGAAACACACCATGGTGGAGGCCCGTTTGCGGATATTTCAGGAAGTATTGAAGAAGCAAGAGATGGGGCTGCGTGAAATGAATTGTCTGCTCCGTGATGTCATGTTGCCCCTGGCGATGGGCCCGCAAAAGTCCCGTCCTACCGCCGATTCCCCCTAGTTCCCTGGGGAGGAATTCCTTTTCAGTCACTGCACAGCCTCTACGGCCATAGAGAGAAGAAGCGAGAATGGGGTTGAGTGCGTTGTAGGCGTGCGTGTGTGGGTGGGGATCGTCTAACAATTGTGTTTTGTTTGGCATCTTTTTCTCTTCATTTTTGTTGTCGGTCGTTTGTGGTGGAAAGAAGCGAGGGCGGGAAAGCTGCCAGTGAGGCGAATAGGAAAGGTGTAGGCAAATTATTTAAAGGCAGAAAGGAGTAATAAAACGAAAAAAATCACTCAAAGAGCGAGGGCAGCATGATTCGACGACTGGGAGTGAACGCCAACAGGCTGGCGAGGCCGGTGAACAAAAGTGCTGTGACGGTGGCCCGCCGCCACCTGGAGCCCATGAGCACATGGTACTTGGCCTCATGGACGATGGTGTGGTACTATGCCTTCTTCTTCTGGATGCCGATGGTGTGGACGGACCTGATGGTGCCCTCCTTCGTCTACAACAAGCTTCCTGTCATCCATTTCATTCAGGAGAAGCGGGCAGAGCAGAAGCTGCGTCGCGTGCTCGATGAGACTTACACGGAATGGACCGAAGAACTTGATCAGGTGCACATCACGGAGGCCATCACGCGATCCTTCAATTTGTGAGACCGAAGTAGTGAATAAATGGTGACCTTTTTTGTTTTTCTTTCGCTTTGTCTCCTTCTGACGATTTCTTCTTTCGTAGCGGAGGAAGAGTTGTAGTTGCACCTTCGCGCGGCTGAAGGTGCTGCTGGTGAAGGAATGAGTGTTGGCCATTACGTATTTATATTTGTCTGCCTGGATGTGTGTGTGCTTTGGTAGGGAGGTCGAACTTTCTCAGCAAAATAAAAAAAAAAAAGACGGCAGCTGCGGCAATGGGGTGGGGACTTCTTTCCCTGACGTCCATGACTTTGCCTCTGCGCATTGTTGTTTTTCGTCTCAAGCTGTGCTGCATTCTTTTTTTCCTTCATTCCCCTTTTTTTTTATCTTCTGCATGTGCGTGTGTTCAAAATAGACGCTGAGGTTTGAAGTGAGGGTAGTCGCTCTTTTTTGCTCTCTCTCTCTCTGTGTGTGTGTGTGTGTGTGCTTGGGTGGAGCAGCTCCCCTGGGATGGACGAGGCAGCGAGCGCACCTGCGGCGCTCTTGTCATCCCCTGCGTCCCTTCGCAGCCGCTGTGAGGAGATTCTGTGCGAGCTCATGGAAACGCAGCGGGGGCTTGGACGGGAGTGGAAGAACGTTCAGCCTTGCGTTGTGCGTGCGTCGCAGCTGCTTTTGCAGCAGGCGCAGCAGCACGACGAGCGGTTGGGGCAGCTGGAGGATAAAATGACTCAAGTTCTGAATGCCGTGGAGGTCATTGCGAGCGACTGTCGGCTGAAGGAGCAACGTTACCGCATGGACCGTGAAAGCACGGAAAGGGCAGTGCAGGAGCTCCAGCGCTCCATCCAGCAGCTTCACGACGCTGTGGCGACGGAGCGCCGTGCCAGCCACCAGTTTCGCGAGGAGACGCTCTACCCCGGTTTAGCGGATCTACAGCAGCAAATCGATCACCTTTCGTCAGGCGCCCCCGCGCATGTGCTCCCGTCGCAGCCACCACAGCAGTTATCGCCCTCAGCAACACTGGCGCCGCCACCTCCGCCTTTGCCAGCAGCAGTCTTTGAAGCTGCAACCGACAGTGACCGCAGGGAAGGTGCGGAGGGCCCTGCAATGAAGGAGATGATTCGGGAAGTGAGGCTTCTGCGCAATCAGTGGCAGCAGCTCCTGCAACAGTCGCAGTCAGCGATGCCAGTCTTTTGGCGGTGCGCAGAGGGGAAACCCCGCATGGAAGCCAAAAGTTCCATGAAAAACAGACGAGTTCTGCTCTCTATGGTGCGTCCGAGTGTTGACTGCAGTACGGCACGGTGGCATTGGCGTGGAGGTCACGTGCCGACGCCGACGCTTTCGCCGGACAGCCCCATTCCGTGGAGCACGCTGCATCTGCGGAAAACAACAACAGGGGAGTGGCTCTCGGTTGGCGCAGCCCCCGACGGCACGGCGACTCACCCCGAACTTAGCGAAGGGGGAGGGCCCCCATTTCTCTGGCGTCCGCGGCGTCCTTCTTCTATTGAGCTCTTGAAAGCTGGCATCTATCGCGTAACGGTCTGTCTGCTCAGCAGCTGCTATCGTCGTACTGGTGGGAATAGTCCCGGCAGTGGAGGAGGTGCCGCCAGCTCCGTGCCGCCGTCCGTATCGCTCAGGGTCAACGACAGGGCCGTGTTCAGCTTCTTCACGGGGGGATCCACCTGCTATGCGTTGCAGCCGGCAGAGGGAGCCGGCCGCCAAAATGCTCCCGCTCCTCATGGCAGCAGTAGTAACAAAACAGCCTCATCTTGTCAGGCGTCTGCCTGTCCCCGTCGCTTGTGCAACTGCAGCGCATTAGCCGCATGCACTACTTCGACTTTCGCAGATTTTCTTCGTTTGCCAGCCGGGTCATGTGTGTCTGTCCACTGCCACGACGCGGCCGACGCAGGCGCGGCCCATGAGGCGCTTCTCGAGGTGGAGTTTATAGCCGGCTAGCGAGATGCAAATGATCTCCTTTCCTTTCTTGACTCTATTCCCGCTGTTGGGAACCGTGTGTGTGTGTGTCTGTGCTGCACCTGCAGTCCGCAGGAAACCTTCCCTTCCTCCCACGCGCGCACACACGCAAAAGCAAAACAAAAAACAAGAACGATAGAGAGTAAGTCACCAACCAACCGCCCGCCGTCCGCAGGAACGACAGGCAAACTCGAGAAAATTCGAAGTGGGATGGAAGGGCGGCACCGTGGCCGCATTGGCGGTACATCACAAAGTGTTTCTGCCTCTCTCTGTTGTGTGTGTTCATGCTCCTATCCATCTCGTGCTCTGCGTCTTTGCTGGGTTGCACCCACACCCAGCGCGTCAGAGAAGGTGT